CGGCGGGTCTCTAGGACCGCGTCTGGGTGTCGATGTACCCAGCCGTCGTAGTCGATGAGCTGGCGCACCGCAGCGTACTTCAAGGGAGGGGCAACCACCCCGACCCAGATAATTGGCGTTTACTAAACGGCCCTGGGAGTTTACTAAACAGCCCTGCCCTGTTTGATCCCTTAATTCCTTGAGCGCGTTTACTAAACGGCTTCGCTTGTGGCCGGTGCCCTGCCAGCGGGACCTCCGCCGGGAACCCCGCTGGCGCTACCCCCGAGGATCCACCGGGACCCGAGGGGGGGTATTCGGACTCCGGACCAGCACCTTCCGAACGCGGGCCCTGTCCCTGGACACCTGCTGGCGAGCCCCCCCTCCCGACGGGGTGGTCCCCTCGTCGCCCTGTCCATGGCGAGGAGGGGAACAGCCCCCACGACCAGCCAGCACCCCGGGGGGGGGGGGGCGGTAATCTGACCCAGGTCACCATCCCTACCCCCCCCCGGGTACCCCCCCTGTCAGACAGGGGACGAATCAGATGGAATCGGCTGAGCAACGACATTTCTTTTCTCTGTTCGTTCCTTTTTCTTTTGGGCCTGGTGACGACAACGACGACGAAGACGACGAGAGCGTCTCACTCACGCCGAAGGGTCGGAGGATTATTACATTCGGCGGCTTTCGTCAATGATCTGCTCTTCCTTCTGTCCCCCCCTTTCGTCACCATCGCCCTCATCATTACCCTTCGCCTCCTCCTTTTCCTCCTTCTCCTCCTCCTCCTAATCCTGCTTCTCCTGCCTCTGCTCCCTCTCATCCTCTCCCTGGTCCTGGTGGTGTCTTTCCCCTTCGTCCTCCTCCTGCTCCTCCTCCTCCTCGTGCTGCTCGGGGTGGCCGGGGGCGACACGAGTGGCCCCGTGCGTGCAGGCTGGCGGGCCTCTGGCCCCAGCCGCGGTGGCCCACGGGTGCCTCGAGGTGGCGGCGCTCTTTGGCGGGGGGCGGCCACCGCCCCGCGAGGCGTCCCGAGCGGCAGGAGACGGTGTCGAGCGCAAGAGCTCCCCGCGCACGGCCGCGCGTAGGCTCCTCTCCTCTGGGCCTCCCAGATGGGGTCCGAGCAGATTGGGGTCGGAGGGTCGTGCCGCATCGCCAATGCATCGGCGATGCGTCGCCGAGGTGGCCCGATGTGGTGCCCACTATTCGCCACGCCGGCGTCGCCGATGCATCGCTGATGCATCGCCGATGCGGCGCGATACTCCGACCACATCTACTCCAACCCCATCTAGAGGCCTCTAGACAAAAGGTGGGGTCGTGCGCACAAGCTTCCCGCGCAGGGCCGCGCTTGAGCTCCTCCTCTCCCCGCGATGTGCCGCGCTGGCGGCCCTTACAAGCCGCAGCGTCGAGGTCGCTATATGTTTTCTCGCGTGAGACCAGCTGCGATTCGTCGCTCAATTCTGAGCCATCCGTCCTCTGCCTCCCCTTTCGCTGGAGGCACAGTTTTCCAAGTCATAGCAACCACGCCAGTATTTGGCAGGTCGCCAAGATGGGTCGCGACATCGACATGTTTTGATCGGACCCGCTTAGATTTCGAAAGGAACTCGATGTTCCCCATGCCCTTCCATGGGCATTCGCCTGGCGCTCCGGGCCCATCTGGGCACACCTGCGCCCCCCAGGTCGCGTCGCCCTCATCGGAAGCTCCTTGCGGCAACTCTTCGGCCGTACATCAGGAGAGAAAGAAACACACAGACACAATTAATCGTCGATTCCCCGGAAAATATGGGAAAATATGGGAAGTGGTGGGGAAGACAGAAACCCAGAAAATATTTGAAAACATGGGGGATATTTTTATTTGTGTGTATTTATTTGTGTGTTCTGGGGCCCCTACAGTACAGAAGGCGGGCTCGCCCCCATCGGCGCGACCCGTCCTGCGCCCCCGACCCCCGCTGCCGCACGCCCGCCGCGCAGCTCCGTGCCTGGGGCGCCCGAGCGCGGCCCGGTCGCGCAGCGGCCTGGGTTTTTCCCCCCGGCGCGGCCCGGTCGTGCAGCAGTGGCTGGTGCAGCCCTCCTGTCCCGCATCCTCGTCCTCTCGCCCCGCAGTCTCCCTCTCTCACCGCTGCTCCCCCTCCCCCAGGCTCCGCCGCTCCTCTCTTCCCGCTCGTCTCCACGCCCTGTCCCCCCCCTCCCTCCCCCCCAAGTACATAAGTAGCCGCACGGAGGGCCCTGAAGCATCCTCCTCCTCCTCCTCCTCCTCCTCCTCCTCCACCTCCTCCTCTCCTCCACCTCCCCATGTCTCTCCTTCCTGCCTTCTCCACCTCCCTCATCACCGCCGCCTTCCCCTTCTTACGTCGTCGGAAACATTATCACCATCCTCCCTCCTCCTCCTCCTCCTCCTCCTCCTCCTCCTCATTCATCCCCTTCCTGCCTCCTCCACCACCTCCCTTACCACCACCGTTTTCCCCTTCTTACGCCCCCAGGCTGCAGGTTTCTTTTTTTGGTATGACAATCGTGGATCCATCATTGCATGTGTGTGAAAGAAGATCATGGATCCCATGTATGCCTCTTCTGGGCAGTTGCGGTTTGGCCAGTGCCATATGCTCATTTGTTGTGTTGGAGTAACGAAGCGTGTAGTGCTAGCTACTGCCCTGGCCCCGGCACTCATGATGCGATTGTGTATGGGGGAGGAACCATCCCTAGCGGAGCGGAGGTAGTCTTTGGCCTGCTGAAAGGGAGCCACCAGAACCCTTTCAAGCTCATGTTCTCACCACCAACCAGACCACCCCAACCCAACCCGAAGGCTTCAGATTGCCCTCCATTTCCAGTGAGAGGGGGATCAGTGAACTTGGCGAAAACAAATGGAAACCGTACCCCCCCAACCCGAAATTCTGGTCAGATTCGGGTCTTCGGGTTGGGTTGGGGTGGTCTGGTAGGCATTCCTAAGTCGGGCCTGTCCCTCTACAGGAGGAATATTCAAACATATTTTTTCAAAACAAAAGATAGTCGGGGGACTATGTTTGGACTCTTGGTGATGATTTTCAAGCACTAAAATGAAAAGTCGCCCAAATTCCCCCTGTAGGGGGACGTGCCCGACTTAAAGGTAGTCAGTGTTCCAGCCTCCCCCCGCCCCCTTACGGACCAGGCCCCTCCCCCGTGCGCTGGGCTCCGCGTGAGAGATCCCGCGGGGCCCGTCGTGGGCGAAACTCCTACGATCGTCCCCCCCTCCCTCCCTCCCGCCCCTGTCTTCTGCTGCTTTTCGAGGGGATCGGAGGATGGAGGTCAGTTCGGGTTGGGTCTGGTGGGAGCTACTACACTGAACTTGGCTGTTTGGTGCCCCTGCAGATGATGCTTGTAAGCCCTCGGCTAGCTGCAGCGCCGCCTGCACGTGACAGCCAGCCGGCTCAACACGCGCCCAATCCAGTTAGGCCCCTGGAGACCAGGACACGGATAAACCAGGACACGGAAAACCAAGGAAACGATTTGCAAAATCACATGTTTCAGCACCCGTGCATGGTTTGCTTGCTGCACTGCAGGATTTGGGCTTGTGCACGGGATTAGGAGGGTCTTGCAGGCTTTTATGGTTTGTGCCCCCCCTCCTCCCTCCCCCCCCCGTGTCTTCCCCGCGCGATCCTCCTCCATCCATGAGCCTTCCCCCTAGAGAACACCTCCCCATCGCACCACCAGGCGTGCCGTCAGGGAGGCTCAGGCCTTTCGCGCGAGATGTCCATCACCACTCGTGTTCCTAAAGCTTGCGTCTTCAACGCTTTGGGGGGCCGAGCGCGGTACCTTTCCAAACCAGATCTCTCGCACCAGAGCCCTCCGTTTGTTGTATACTGTATCATATTACATGTGTATACCTTTTTGAAATTATTCGTTCAAAGGAAAACCATCACAAACTACTTGCACACCTACATGGATGGACGGCGATACCCTTCCATCAACATACGGCACTCGTCGTAGCGGCACGAACGTTCGTTCTGAAGAGGCTGCAGAAGCTGCCGGCATGGAGGACGGTCGGTTCCCAGGTTTTCGGGGCCTACCGCCCGCAGGAGTGACAAGGATGGAGGGTGGCACCTTCTCAACGCGGGACCCTCTCTCTCGCTGCATGGTTCCTCGAGCTCCACGGCCTGGAGTGCGCCAACCTCTGTAACCACAGCAGCACGCGTGGAGGGCGGTTCCCTTGGGGCTCTCGCTCGGGACTTTCCCAAATGTAATGACAAGACGTGTCTTGGGGGGCGGCTCCTACAGTGGAGACCCATGCCAAGAAAAACCCTGCTCGCCTCCAGGGTGCCCTGGGTTTCTTGGGTTTCGATGGTTTAGTCATGGAAAGCGCGACGTTCCCGCAACGACGATCAAGGGACGTCCTGGGGTCTCAGGATTGGGTTTCTTGTGGAAGGTCTCTTGTGGACTGGCCTCCACTGTATTCGAACCTGGGGGTGGGGATCTGGCTGGACACCTGGCTTAATTTTCTGGTCGGGCCTCCCGTGGGCCTTAGCACTCGTCAGAAGAATGCGAGCCAATCGTGTTCAGGGCTCTCGCTTCCAGGGCAGGCCCGTCGACACGTCCTGGATTGACTCTGGTGCTCCTCCTCTAAGTCGGGCATGTCCCTCTGCAGGAGGAATATCCCAAAATCATCAAACATAGTTTGGGGACAATGTCTGACTCGTTCTGCCTTTTTTGTCCGTCTTGTTTTGTCTTGCTACTTACCATTTTCTTACAGAATCCGTCTGTAGGAGGATCGGAAGCCGGGCAAGGGCTCCTAAATCCGTGGCTGCTAAAATCGACCTCCGGGAAATTGTCTTCGTCCTTCCGGGAAGAAGCCAGTTGACTGTTTCGCGTGCCGCGCCTCATTCCGGGAAGTTGTTTTTATCTTCCGGGAGGGCAGTTTTAGCAGCCACAGTTTTAGCAGCCCTCGCCCAGCTTCCGAGAGGACATGCCCGACCCAACCTGACCCACCTCCCCCTTCATTCCTGCCTCGCCCTCCTTCCTCGTCTCTCCTGCTCGAGCCGGGGCCCAGCCCCGCCGGCCTCCAGGCGTGGGTGGGCCGCACGGGCAACGGCGTCGAGCCCGCGGCACCGGGCTCGGGCGGCAGCCCCGACGACGAGGACCCCGGGCTGCGAGGGGGGAGGGCGAGGGGGGGGGGGGGCTTCGGGGGCGGCACAGAGGGGGGTGGTGACTAGGCCGGGGTTGAATATCATTGCGTGGGCCATGATATTTCCCCAGATGTCATGGCGCCTCTTCTTATTTCATTACGTCCCTGGCCCCCCCCGCTGGGCCGCGCACGTGCCGCCGGTCATGATTTGCAGCCCCCCCTCTTGGACACCCCCCTCTTGGCCGCTCCCGAGGGCTCTGCCAGCATCAGTGCCAGGCCACAGGCGCCTTGGCACAACGGCTTCCGCCCCACCCATCACCTCCACCTCCCATGCCTTCCGGCATCCGCGAGAGCTGCGGATGAGCCCATCGAGCCTCATGAGAACCTTAATCACGCCTTTCAAGGAAACCCACGTACAGTCAACGCGCACAGGAAGGATGAACGACTTTCCAAGATTACTTTTGCATCCTTTTACTTTCAAGCGGCTTTCGCTGTCCACGCCCCGTTCGCAAAGTGCCGACATGGCCTTCCAAGGCCCTTGCATCCTTATCGCGCGTCCTTATCATGCGGGTTGACTGTAGATCACATCGAAAAAGAAATGGAAGGTTAGGGCGGAAAGTCCAGAATAATGAGGGGGAGGTCACGGGGAGCCGCGCAGGACTTGCCAGCGCCGTGTGCAGCACGCCACGATCTGCCAGCCTGAAGCATATCACTACACCGATGATTGTTGGCAACACCGTGTCTCGATGTCAAGAGGACGAGGGGGATGGGGGCGGGAGTGGGAGGAGGACCATAGCTCACTGAGAGGTTAGAGGTTCCCATCGTCGGTTATGTTTCTGCCAGTCAAGCAGTGGCGAAGCGTCCTGGCTTGCCTACAGGCCTACCGAAGAATGTGCTAAGGACCTTTTGTTGTGTGCGCGACATGTTCTTAGAGCATTTCTGGTTGAGACCGTCTTGTTTTTATGCATCGGGCTTTCGTTCTAAGAACATCGTTCTTGTTCTCAGAACTTTTGGGGGTTCTACGAAGATCGCGTGGTAGGCCTATAGGGACGCCGGGACGGTCGGTCCCTGCTCAAGCCAGTTTTGTTGCCCCAGGGTGCTTTCCAGCAGCCGCCCTTCGTCGAGAGCTCCCCGGGGGCAATTTTCCCGAGTGTCCTCCCGAGAGCCGCCAGAGGCCCACAAGCTTGAGACCCGCAGGGCAGTTTCTGTTTCCGCTCCCCCGTCGTCAAGTTCGCCTGGGTGCGCCTCACGGGTGGCCCTCTGGTCCAGGCCTCTCAGATGGGGTCGGAGCAGAGGTCGGAGGATCGAGCCGCATCGCCGAGGCATCGGCGATGCATCGGCGATGCGGATCCACGTGGGGCCCATTTTTTCTGCACGCCGACGTCGCCGATGCATCGCCGACGTCGCCAGTGCTTGGCCGACGCATCGGCGATGCGTCGCCGATGTATCGGCGATGCGTCGAGATCCTCCGACTCCATGTGCTCGGACTGCATCTAGGAGGCCTCTATCCTGAGGGGCAGCAGATTCCTCCTTTTCCTCCTCCTTGGTGCCACCCTCCTTGGTGCCACCCTCCTCGGTGCCACCCTCCTTGAATCCTCCTCCTCTTCCTCGTCTTCCTCCTCCTCCTCGTCTTCCTCCTCCTCCTTGAGGCAACCCTCCTGCAACAAAAAACACTTGGGCGTCAAACCGAAAACCGACGCCCTCGCGTCGCGGACATCTCGCGAAACAGGTTTTTCTTTTCTGTTGTTCGCAGTGCCCGGCGCTCGGGGCGGCGGCCCCCTGCGTCGGGCCCCGCCGTCTCCCCGGGGTTTTGCAGTTGACTCCTCGGCAGGCAACGTGGCCTGCAGAGAACTCGCAGAGCACGCCCGCAGTGACGGTTGGATGGGCGATGGTCGGGTTTTGCCCCGTACGCTCCAGATTTTTTGCGAAACGTTCGCGTGGCCGCAGGGCACGACGGAAGCGAAGCAGACAGAAGCTGTCAAAAGGTGGTGGCGTCGTTGGAACATGTTTTCTGGAGACGCAGCCGCGGGGACGACTACAGACAGACGGCGCGCGCACTGCGCTGGGCGCACGTCACAGTGTCCATGGTTGGAAGTCACTCTGAACGAATGGTGGTCCCAAAAGAGGGCTTCGGTGGATTGGAAGGCCGTGGCGAAGCTGACCCCAGTCGCGGAGCAGCGCCCAGAGATGCTCGCAAGGTGCACCTGGGCCCTGCTCGTCACGAAAGCGCGGCACCTCGTCACGCAGTATTGCGTCGAAGCCTTGAGGCAGGGACTCAAACCGAGGGTGCCGCAGTTGCGGCCCCGGCGGTGGTCGAAGTGGCGGCGTTCCTACGGTTTGAGTTTTCGAACATTTCACCGCAAGTACAAGGTGCGGAAATTGTTTCTCCAGTCGCGTTTCGAAACGATGATCCTCATCGTGGCCAGGGTTCGCGCCACCGCAGGGGAACTTCTTGGTTATTACCCAGAAGTCCTCAACTGGGACCAGTCCCCTTTCCACCACAACGAGACCGCTTCTGCTTCGAAGCCGTGCCTGACTGTGAAAGGGGGCGTCGTCCCGCTGGTGGAAGCCCACGATGACAGCAAAGCCAGGTGGACAGCAAAGCCAGGTGGACAGGTGGACGGCGACCAGGCGGAACTCCGCAGTCGCGGCCCGCCGCCAGCAAAGCTGATGTTCAAGGGGGGGCCTGCCGTGGCGAAGGACCTGGCGACGCACATGCGCACTTGCGACTATGGTGTTTGGGTGAGCACGGTGACTTCCGAGAAGTGCTCATACCGCACAGAAGAGGTCATTTCCTCCCTGCAGTGGCACTCGTGCGCGTGGCTGGACGACGCGCAGGCGCGGGGGCGGCGGCGCATCTCCATTGCCGATGACCGCGGCCCCCACAAAGCAGATGCGGTTAGGAGGCTCGCCTGGGCACACGGCGACGTCCTCATCATCAATGGAGAGGGCACGACCGCGGTTGCGCAACCCGTGGACACGGACTTGAATCAGCACGTGCAGCGCCGTTACATGGCACCCGGAACCGTGGAACTCGTGCAGCAAATTGCAGAGGGCAGGCAGGTGCCGCAGTTGCGGCGACACGAATGCGCCGGCATGATGGTGTCCGCGCTGAGCAACGCACAACTCCACGTAGACGCCGCCGACGGCTTTCTCATAACATGGACCAGAGCTCGATTTGACAAGTCTGGCGACCTGCACCTGCACATGTGCAGGGAGGCGGCCGGGCCGTGGAGGGACGGGGGCTTGCGGGGGAACGTGGGCGCCGCAGTCGCGGAGGTCAGGGCAGCGCGCGGAGTGGGCAAGCCCAGGTGGTCGCGCAACAACGCGCGCCGCCTCATCCTAGACTGCGCGAAGCACAGTGCATCAGACAAAGTCCTGGGGCAAGAGCAAGGAGGAGAACGGCGGTGGGGGGGGGGGGGCGACGGCGCGGAGGAGGGCGATGAGAGCGCTCCCGACAAGGGCGATGCGGAGCAGGGCTGGGAGGAGGCCCTGGGGGAAGACCAGGATGCCGCAGCTGCGGATTGCCAGCTTGCGCCCGCGGTGATCGAGGGGGGGGGGGGGGGGGGTCGCAGTTGACGCGCGGTGCGCGCGGCCGAGCGGGCGGCGGCAGAGGTGGCGCTGAGGGGCGCGCTCAGAGAGGCGGACGCACCGCTGCGACAGGCGGGCTTGGAAGCGGGCAATGAGTTGTCGGATCGAGCAGCGGAGGCAACGCGAGCGCATGCGAGAGTTGTTTCGCGAAAGCGACGACACCCTGCGAGCCTTGACGGCGCAAAGGGACCACGAGGCCGCAGTGGCGGCGAAACGGCGGCGATTGGCGAAGGAAGCGGACGACGGGGCCTTGGCGCTCCGAGACCTGACGAGGCAAATTCGGGAGTCGGAGACCGCCTTGAGAGCGAGCAAAGAGGCCGCAGTCGCGGCGGCGGCGGCGCTGGCGAGCAAGTTCGCCCTGGCGCAGTGGGAGCCAATGGAATGCACGCCCGAGAAAACCAGAGTGGCGGTTCTGGACTGCCTGGCTCGCGGCATGGGCGTTCTCTCGGGGGCGCGGGGGCGCGAGCGGGCGCGGTTCCGGACGAGCTGGGGCGAAGAGATGAGCATGGAGCACAAGGGGAAGTGGCCAGTCGCGCTCGCGGGGCGGCTGCAGGAGGTCGCAAACGGCGCCGCAGATGCGAATCGCGCATCGCTGTCGCAGTTCGCGCGCAATGGGACAGTTCGAACTTTAGGCGGTCAGTTGGCGCTGGCGGTTCTTGCGAGTGCCGGTCGCGGCAGCAGTCGCTGTGGAAGTGGAGCCGTCGCGTAATTGGAGCTAATGACGTGGCCGCGGTTGCTGCGAGGCGCTGCCGCAGCCGCGGTTCCGTCGCCGCTGCGTGGAGAAAAAGAAACATCGCTAATTATCGCCTCCTCTTCCTCGCCCCCCGCCCTCCCCGCCCCCGGCTGCTGCGGCTGCCCCTCCTCGCAGAGCCGCTCGATCCTCCTGCAGCTGTTGCCCCAGACCCCCTCGGCCCCATCGCCCCGCGCGATAGTTATTGGCGGCTCGACGAGCCACCGCTGGCAAACGCGGCTGGCGCCGCCGCGCGTCCGTCGGCCAGGGCAGCCGCGTGGCCGGCCACCCCGCGCGTCGGGCGCGCGCCCGCCAGCAGCGCTTCTGGTTCCGGGGCCCAGTTGGCCACCGCGGAGCACATCCACGTCGCCGAAGTCGCGGACGACGGCGACGCTGCATCTGGAACCGACGGTTTCACTCAAGACGGGGACAGCTGCGCCGCCTCCGGCGGCCTCTGCCGCAGACGGGGAGGAATGCCAGGAGCCCGCAGTTGCGGCGGGGGGAAGTCCTGGCGCGGGGGCCGCAGCTGCGGCTGCGCGCCAGAAAAAGAAGCGATCCTGGGAGAAAGAGGCTCGCATCCAGCAGACCCTCACGCCGCCCGAAAACAGAGGGGGCGCTCTTCTCGAGCGGGGGGGGAGTCCGCAGAGGACATGGGGAGGGGTGGGTTTCTACGCGATAAACTTCGGGGCCAG